ATTCGTCAACAATCATGTCGTCCAATATGAACAAACTCATTGTAAGTGAAAAGCTTTTTCTTTTTTTTTTTTTTTTTAGATATGTTGGACATTTTTATGGATGCACCTAGGGTGTCAACTGTTCAAGCATTAATACTTTTGTGCATGGTCGACCAAGGAAAACCAACTTCGTACAGACCTCAAACCTATTCTTCTATGGCTATCAGAATGGCTCAAAGTATGGGATTGAATCGAAGGAACGGGACTGTATATCAAGGCAAAGGTCGACCAACGAAAAAACTTGTATGGTGGGGTTGTTTCATAGTTGATAGACTTAATAGTCTTGCTACAGGGGACCCTTTGGCAATTAATGATAAAATGTGCGACATAGAACTTCCTTCGCCAGACGAAATAGATGACCAAGATGATGATCAACAACAATCGCCCCAACAACAAAATCCACATAGTTCAACATACGCACAACAAATAAACATTTTTGTTAATTTTATAAGACTTGCCCGACTAATTGGTCAAATAATTGAGCACCTTCAATCGACTGCTTGTATTGGAATGTCATCATCCTGGACTCATCATCTTATGGTTTCTAATTTTGAGGCATCACTTGGAGCCTGGCATCGGGAATTACCTCACTATCTGCATTATGCACCTTCGCCACAGCATATGCCACTTCCCGGACATATAGCATCAATTCATATGCATCATCAGACCCTTTTTTTGATACTTCATTACCCTTACATAGCAAATAACAATATTAGACAATCTAACTCACGAATGTCCAAAACCTATCAAAAATCGTTAGCCGTTTGTACATCAGCAGCCAATACCATAACACATATAGGAGGTACGTTGTGACACTATTTGATCTATTATTTCTATTACTTATGTTAATTAAATTGATTAATTACTCACACAATAATTCACAATAATTCACAATAATATATATATATTTTAGTTGAAGCATTAAATAATATCAATGTATGCGTAACATTTCCGACCATGTTTCACTGCCTAGCAAAGGCAGCAAAAGTTCATGAAATCAATATTGCATCTTCACATCGAGGATTAGCCATACCATCATACAGAAACATTTTAAAAACGATCAAGATTTGTCAATTCTATCAGCAAAATAATATAATGACAGAATTGGCCAGTCAAACTATTAAAGCATTGGAAAATATTGTGATAAAATATCAAGAAAAGTTCACTAATGAAGATGTTTCTTCATCTTCGTCCTCGAATATTCCTACACACATAAAGATATCACCCACTATGACGAATCAATCATATGGAGAATCCTCAACGTCAACGATAGACAGAACCACACCATCAATGATTGCATCTTATGTTGGATATACATCATCACCTACGTCTACAAATACCACCACCAAGAGAGCATCAACATCTCCAACAAACATGCAACAGCAAAATTTTGCATATTCGTCACAAACGGAAGGAACTGGAGCTCAATATATTCCAATAAATATTGGTAATAATCAAATATTTGACCAATTTGCCACCATGCAAATGCAATCACCGACCGTCATGTCACCAACAGAATAAATAGCATTAAGGAGTAACGGAGAAGGTTGGTCTTCGACATTAGGGTTTGATAAACGTCTGAAAAATTTTGCTCGGTTGATGATGGGAAAATATGGATGAAAATGGTTAAAATATTTTTCCAATAATAATTGTGTGACATCAGCAGGCAAAGCTTTGCTCAGTTGTGGTATGGATGTTGGTAATGGAGGATCGACATATGAAGCACCAGATTGATTTGGGTTGATAAGAAATAAAAGATTGCTACTTTGTAAACTATTAACGTCATTTGGAGAAACCAAATTTTGGTGAAGTATATCCTCATCATCACTGACTAAGTCATCATTATAAGAGGAGATCAAAGTTGGGGATTCGGAAAATCCGGAAAATCCAGTCGCATCGGCAGGAGGTGTTGAAGGAATGAATAAATGGTGCTGTGAATTTGTGGTTGCAATATTATTTGAAGGGGAATAATGTCGTATTTTAAATGTAGAGAATTTTTGTCGTGTACTTGTTGTTGTCTCCTCGATTGTTGTTTCTCTTTCTCGTTTGATTTCCTTATTAAGTTCATTACTATTATCTTTATTGACGAGATTAACCAAAAGAGATTCTATAGTGTGTAATCTATCTTCTATCAATGCTACAAATCCTTTAGGAGGACCTCTAGGTCGTTTCGAAGACGAATCCGAGAATGTACATTGATAACCTAAACATTATATGTACATATAATATATAAATATATATTTATTTACTTAGTGATAAAGTTTTTATTGATACAATTAACATTGGTCTCATTGGTTCAATACATGTCCAATTATACCGATTACAATAGAATTCTCCAATCAAAAGATTTCGATCTTCACGGCATTTGATGACAGAGTAACGAGACACGTTGCAAATTTAATGAAAATGAAAACCAAACCTCCTCGTTGACAATTGGCACATGGGGAAGCGCCATCACATTTAACTTTCCTTCTTCTACAAGTATCACAGGCAGTAGTAATCTTTACACGTTTATGGTTATCACCAGATTCGTCAACAATCATGTCGTCCAATATGAACAAACTCATTGTAAGTGAAAAGCTTTTTCTTTTTTTTTTTTTTTTTTAATTAAGATTCGACTAATAGGAGGATCCAGAAGGTTTTTGTCTATATGAACAGAAAAAATTGTTTTTTTCTAAGGGAAACAGAAAAGACTCCACTAAAATAAAATGTATGAATGTATGAATGTATGCGCCTAATTTAGAATATCTGAATGATGGTAAAATTTATGTAATGCATGAGGTTAAAAATAATATTGACGAAGTGAAATGATTATTCACGTTTTGTTTCTTTTCTTTCTTTTTTTTTGGCTTTTCTGTTTCTGCGTTTTTCAGTCTAATGACTTGGACATATAATATAATATATATTTGACGTCACCTAATAAGGTATAAGATCATTATATACTTTTGACTATCATATATATTATAACAAAGAGGTTGCTTTCTTTTGCCGATTAATAATAGTCTTGAATGATCCGTTAATCAAGATTTCAAAAAGTGATAGAACTCAAAAAAAAAATAAAATAAAAGCTTTTTAAAGGAATATTTATAAATTGTATTTGAAAAAATGGACAGATAGAAGCATTTATAAAGCAATTAAAATTTGAGTTCGTTTGTTGTGCAGAAAAAGAAGAGAGAACTCATTAAAAATGATATCAAACACACTATATAAATAATAAAAGAAAATACAGAATGGTGATGAGTAACGATGTTGAATTGAAACATTTATTACTTAAACGCTGTAGTTGTACAAAAAATTGTATCTCGCAATTGACCCACACCCGTACGACAGTGGTACAGTAAAAACAAGTTGTCTTTATATAAATTCAAATGTCTAAATAAGTAAAAAATTTTTATATTAATTATATAGTTACGCATTTATAATAGAATATAGTGTGCAATGGAATTCTCGTTTTAGAATGTTACTTGGACGAAGATTTTTAATAACTAAATGGTATTTTCGGGAAAGATCTTGAATTAGATCCAAGCGTTAATTTTTGCGGTTAGTATTTTATGCATGCGTGGTCAACACCGCGCGCTAATGTATGCTGCCCGCAAGATCTTTGATCAGAATTTATAATAAATAGTTGGAAATCAATACAATCAATACTAAGCCACGATAAACTATATCCATATGTATGCAATCATTCTTAATTATTTACTAAATAATTTTTTCAAATTATTTAACTAAATTATTTATTCAAATTATTTAACTAAATTATTTATTCAAATTATTTAACCAAATTATTTATTCAAATTATTTAACCAAATTATTTATTCAAATTATTTATTCAAATTATTTTAACTAAATTGTTTATTCAAATTATTAAACTAAATTATTTGTTCAAATTATTTAACTAAATTATTTAATTAAAGTATATCGATATACAATTGTAATATTATATGTTCTATGACAGCTTTAACCTGACAAAAAAGATTACTATTTGTTCGCTAATTTAAGAATAATAAATAAACCTTACTATAGTCATATTAAATTAATAATTCTCGTTATATGCCGAATTAAAACAACTTAAGCATAATGCGTTTCGAGAATTTAATTCTGTAGTCAGAATGTGGAATGTCGAATGTATCAGAAAAGACTTTTTAATTGAGTAACCAATAATTATTTTGAACTCGCGCCAACAGATTTGGTATTGCGGAAACAAAAAACATCATAAATGGAATTTTTAATTTGTTGAACATTTAACATTACTTAATCGAATGTTCAGACCAGTACCTAAAAAAAGCCACATAAAAATTGGAATTCTGTAGCGATTATTCCAACACTAGCACTTATTCCAGACCGTTATCCTAGACTTTGGGTCGGATGTCTTATGATCAACCGTATTACTTTAAACTAATTTTAATCTAATTTGTTTACGGTTTTGACTTCACACGGCGACAATTTAATGGATGGATATTAATTTTACCTTGTGTATTCAGTACTACGCAATTCCGTAGTGAATTCTTTGTCTCTTTTTTTTTTTTTTTTTTTTATTTTTTGCTCTATCGAGTTGGAACATTACTCTAAGAGTGATGTAACATAAACAAGAATACGCCATTTTGGCTTTTCATTCGTCAGTTTAAAACATGTTACTTTTATAATCTCGATAACTGGTATAAGTCTATGTTATTATTTGTTGACCTAATTGCTCATGAATATTAACGGTTGCTAATTTCTCGCACGAGGAATAAAAAGTGTAAAATAAGCAGCAAATAAGGCACATTTTAACCATTTTAATTAGAACGTGATCTCCTTTAAAAATTTTAACCTTTTCTTCTATTTGCAGACTCATGGATCTTATCTGTTTCACGGGCACATGATTTAAGGCGTAAATGGACCGACAACAAAAAAAAAATTTTTTTTTTTATTACTAAATCTATTTTTATCAAATCTTATCACCTTTAACGTTGAACTATAGTATGCTACTTTGGAGTTATTGTGTAACCTTAAATCAGCATCACTGGTGATAGACGCCGGAGAATAAAGATGTTTGCCGAAGGTAAGCTAATTGAATAATAAGAAAGATACCGGAAACGTTGATCTTGTATAACAATAACCTTAAAAGAAGAACAAGTTAATTGGAGAGTGATTTTAATCCTGGATTTTATGTGATACTTTGGTGTTCTTAATTAATTAACTATATAATTAATTTAACTATGTTATAATAACTGCTTTTTTTAAGAACATCATGCAGAAAAAAAACCAACAATCATTCAAATAATTCAAATAATTCTAAATAATTCTAAATAATTCTAAATTAATTCTAAAATAATTCTAAATAATTCTAAATAATTCTAAAATAATTCTAAAATAATTTTAAAATAATTTTAAAATAATTTTAAATAATTCTAAATATTATTGAGAAAACAAGAAATAAAACTCAATAATTTCGTGCAAAAAATTTGACCGATCAATAAAACAGTAGTAAACATTGAACGAGCCTAACTGCAAATGACTACATAAGCTTGATTAACGATGATTTAAGAAAACAATTAAAGTTAATGTGAAAAATTTACTCAAATGAACAAAAATAAAAAACAAGCATTTACAAGTAAGGAATCTCGTAATAGCCAATCATTACACGTTTACAAGCCAATGTGGAGGCACCATGTTTCAGAATCTAAAAGTGATAAAACTGTTTCAAAAAATGAATATGAAAAAAAACGCATATATGCGCATAGATCTAAAAAATTCTTTAAACGAACACATGTGTCACGT